GTCCCCTGCTCTAAAACCACCTGAGTGCATCACAGCTAGAGCTTGTTACGTCCACTTTTAAAATGAACGTATTTTGTGTTGAATTGAAAAGCCGTAATTGCGACTGTTCTGTGTCTTTCGTTGTTGCCGTTCCAGAATCGTTGTCGTCCCGCAGTCAGACTGTGTCCTTGTCCAAACGCAGCTGATTTATGAAATGTGGAACCATGATGGAAGTGGATGCAAAATAAGGCCACTTAAAAAAAATCAATATCCATTTATGGTAAGAGCTGGATATGAAAATGAGCCGCCCAGACAGACAGGATATTCTCACTGCAAACTACATTAGTCATTTTCAAGTACGCACAGAGAAATCTCTACTTGGCACAAACTTTAGACAGAGTACTGGCTCCACATACTTCATACTGCAGACTTTATGGTTCTCTGGGACGTAGACATGAGCTCTACTTTTTAGTTTTCACACGTTCTGACCGTCCCACGTGCACAGGCCTCATCTAACAGACAGTGCTTTGCTGTGATCCACATTGAAACAGCAGCTTCAAGTGCATAGGACTCCCACAATTATGAAACTGCTTTCATTCAAACTATGTAATTCTGAGAAATTGCCCCAAGAATGTGACATTTTTTGACAGATGTTTAATGTATTAGTAGTATATAGGTTTTTTTATTTTTACCTTTAATCACTTTTACTACATGCTAAAACTGGTGAATAAAAGTTGAAATGCTAGCAAATAGCAACTGTTAGCAAGTAAAGGTAAAACTACTTTCATTTCAAAAGCAAAAGAACATTTCATAAAAATAATGACATAGAAATAAAATTGACGATTTTGGGAGTTCTGGTGTTAAGCGATGGATGGAGGAAAAGCGGGTCTGGAAACACATACACAGACAACGTTTTAGTTTAGTTTTTAGTTGAACATTCATTCAGTTTGTATAATAACACTGTATAAACACAGTTATATACATAAAGCATTAACAATTTTTTAAAACAAATATCAGAGTGATGCAACATTCCCCTCTGATGTAAAGATTACTTACTTACTTAAATTAGCCTCTGGTTTTACTGTTGAAAATGTGATCGGAAATTTCAGGTTATTTAGGTCAATTTTGCCAGAAGTCCTGGTACAATATTGCATTTTCCATAGGTCCACCTGGTGTTCATTCAGCCTCCAACCAGTAACTCCTGTTTTCAGATAGCCTGGCCATAGCCGTCCGTACACTCCGTTCAATCATCATTTCACTGCATGTAACGTCTGGATCTAGTCCCAGTGTTAGCGAATACAATCGGTTGAATTTCGACCGACCATTCAGAGAGCGCGGAAGGCAGGTGTTGTAGTTAGTTGTGGGTGACGAAGAGTTTTTGCGTCGAAAGGGCAGGTTCTATCAAGAAATTGAAGCCGGAGCAAGGGTAATGTTTAGCAAATGTAATCGCTGGAAAGAATTGTGGCGCTACTCCCTCCGGGCTCCGTTAGCTGCAAAGGAGATGGCTAGGGCTAAATGCTAAATGCTAACAACAGACTCGGGCGCATTACTGTACATACGTCACGGTAAACTCAGATCCAATCGTTTCAATCTGCAAAAGGAGTTAACCCCTCGCAGCTGTAAACGGAGCTCAATGGAGCACGTCCAGACCTTAGTATGAAATATCATTTGTACTAAGGTGTGGTACGACCAGGCTAGTTTTCAGATAGCTCTCTAACGTTTCTGGAGTTCAACACATAATGCTAAGAAATTCAATACTGAATCATTTATCTGTTTCCACTATAAATATTAAGCTTACATGCACTAATGCAGGGATGTATTTTGCTGAGCAGCCACAGATGGATTAAGAACACTGTATTAGCATGTATTCAAATGAACATGTTTCATTAAAGACAATTTAGAATGAAATAAAGACCGCAGACTTCAGTATTGACTGTGGCTGTACTGGTTTTGTTGCCTCCGTTACCACAACATTATAACACACTGCAGAACCAGCAGCTGATAATGTTGTGAATGCAGTTAGAAATCAAAACATTTTTAAAACACAGGTGCGGCTGTTTTTAGAATAAATACTGCGCTGATATTATGCTCCCGTCTAATTTTATGAGAATGGAAAGACCCTCATTCCCCAAGCTAATGACAGAAAATATTGAATGTGCGAAGATGCTGGGAAGATGACTTTCTACTGATGGGAAAAAATCTATCTGTTCAGTATCACAATATTTTGCACACACACTTAAATCAACCCAGTAGAGCAAAGTCTTGTGATATTTAAAACAATTATTATGTTTCACTTTTGAGTTCACTCAAATACATCCCCAGTTTTTGTGTATTCGCTCAACAGCAAGTTCTAAGTTCACATGAAAATGGTTCTAGACTACACATTTTGGCACGTCAGGTAATGTGCAGACCATAATAAATGTGATATTTGAGTGGATTAATCTTATTTTCCTCAATGTTGCAATATATCACAGAATTTAATCCCAATACTGGTTGTATCGCAATATGCTAAGTATCGCAATAATATTTCACTATATCGCAATATACTCCCGCTGAAATATCAAGGCCGTATCTGCATTGAAGGAGCAGCCACCACCTGCAGAGAATCAGCGAGGGACTGGTGCTTTGTGAATTGGGTGCAGCTCTGATTGCCACCCCCTTGATCCAGAAATGGATAATAAAAAGAATGAAAATGAATGAATGAATGACTATATCGCAATACTATCAAATGGTCAAGTTTTTGCCAATCCTCAACCCTGAGGGAACAATGATACAGTCTCTATACTGACATGTCTACAAAATGACATCAGATGTATTAATATTGCACCAGACCTCACTGTTTATTCTTGTGTTTTTTGTTCCGTTTACAAAAATACAAAAACTCAATACAAATTTGAACTACAAAGGAGAAAAAAAAGTCCAGGTGAAATGACTCCACTTCACAGTAATAATGGGATGCTTTTACCTGCTGTGGGGCCGTTCGAGAGCTGGTGTGATAGATGAGGGGGCTTAGTGCAGCGGTGGCACCAGGCTCATTAGAACCTTGTGAGAACCATAATGACACAATGGTGCTGCTTATCCCCTCACCTCCGTGTAAACAGACTGTTAACTGGGCCTGACTCAGCTCCAAACATGGCCTGTCCCCATTCTTTCTCTCATCACACTGCACCATATGGGCACACATGTTTTTAAACTCCAGAAAAAGCAAACTCAAGTTAATGAAGCCTCGGTGCGTGGACTAGGAACGCTGTTGTGGAGGCAGCTATTGAAAAGTCTATATACAGTGAACATCCAATACGTGTTTTGCTTGTGATTAACTTCACTGTCGGCTCACTGTGAATCTCCAGGACACTTCTGCATCAGCTGAAGTTAATTGGGCGATTTCTTTGCATCCAAGATTCGAAAACAGCTTTGATTTTACATATACTTTGTTTTAGTTTATGCAGTGCAGTCAAAAAGCAGTCCCAGGCCAGCTGAGAAATACAGTATGTAGGAAATTCCCACTGCACTGGCTCGACTTGACTCTATGTGCATCTAACCGACTTGGGCCCACGCAGAATGCTTACATTACCATTGCAAACCGGTGCTGGTGGTTACGGTTGTGGATCCAGGGGAAACACTGAAGTAGTTAAAACAGCGGCTAAAACAGCAGAGGATCAACTGCAGAAGGAGAGATACGAGAAGTACAAACATCAGAAATGGTGAAAGCATGATAGTTTACTCATCACTCTGATCATCACCCTCAGTGCACTCTTCCCAATGTCAAACATGGGGGTGGCAGCATCATGTTGTGGGCTTCTCAAGGAAGAATGTCAGTTGATGAACAAATAAAAGGATGATATTGAGGAAAAGCTGATGAAGTCACTAAAAATCTGAGGTGTTTATATCTATTTCCTCAAGACTTTTCTAGACTTTTCAAACAGAATGATTGTATGAACACAGACATATTCATGTTTTAGAATGGCCCAGTCCGGAACTTTTCTAATCTGACATAGCTTGAACTTTTATCAATTCACCAAAAGACTTGTGCTGTGTTAGCAGCAAAAGGGAGTTTAGTTCCCCAATATATGTTTACTTTTTTTGTTTGTGCTTAGTTTATTAATTTATTTTACATAATTGCTGTTTTATACATTTAGAACTCCTGAATGATCAATGTTCGTTGCTGATGCAGGAGGGTCTGAGGACAGTCGTGACGATCCAGGACATTTAAGATCAGATGTCTCCCATAGGAGATATATGTGTTTGGACAGGGGTCTACATGCTTCATACAGACACCACAGACATGAGGGGGCAGCACGGTGGCGCAGTGTGGAGTTTGCATGTTCTCCCCATGTCTGCTCCAGTTTCCTCTGGGTGCTCTGGTTTCCCGTACCACTGAAAACATGTACAGTAGGTCTGGCATGCTTCACCTGTATGGCGACCTCGCTCTCATCTCTGTGTGGAGTGGGAGATAATTGGCCACAACTATTGTAAAGCACTTTGTGACTCTGGTCTGTGAAAGGCGCTATATAAATACATAATAAAGATAGAGATACAGGACATTTATGGACTCTGGTCATCTGCCTCTTTTGGACCAATTTTTTTAAATTGGTGAACATAAAACATTTAACTGGTTACAGACAAACTAGAAAACTACTTTTGTGATTTAGGCCTATGCAAAAAATAGATTAAATTGAAACACTTGAAATTTCAAGTGTTAAAAACATAGAATATGATTTACCAGTGTCACATATTCTCAGTCTTTTTTCAGATCTAGAGCCAAGTTCCACATCCTCTGCTGTACATCCATGTGCGCTGCTCATAAATTACCACTCCCAACAAACATGCACATAAATTATCTGTGATTCTCAATAGAAATCTGCCGCCCCCTCCCCTCCTCCTTCCCCCCCTCCTCCCCCCTCCTCTCCCCTCCTCCTCCTCTCCGCTCGCTTCTCCCGCCTTCATTTATGTCTTTGGAACTTCCTGGCGTATCCACAAATAATATTGCTTACTGTACATTTCCTTTGTGATTGGAATAAAAGGCAGACGGGCGTGGCAGGGGGGGGGGGGGGGGGGGGGGGTCCTTTGATGCCCCCCCCACCCCCCTCGCTGCCACCTGTCGCCACGGAGACGGCGCCTGCATCATCAGCGCTCGCCGGTGGGGAACGGTGCATCTTCTCTTCTTCTGGTGCTTCTATTGTGGCCTGTCCCGCCTCCCTGATACACACTTTTATCTCCCATCACAGACCATACGTCGGTGTGTGTGTCTGTGTTTGTGTGTGTGTCTGTATGTGTGTGTGTGTGTGTGTGTGTGTCTGTATGTGTGTGTGTGCGTGTGTGTGTGTGTGTGTATGCCCGTTTCTGTGGATGCGTGCGTGTTCTCATACATGGATGTGCTTATGTGTGTGAGTGTGTGTGTGTGTCAGTCACAGAGCAGAGAGAGAGGAGGCAGCGGGGGATAATAGGCGCCCTCCCCATGACCTCAATCTGAATGTGAATAATACTTTATGATATCCAAAAGAACGGCCCCCTCCGCTCTGGTTCAGGACCCTCCAGCCGACCAAGCGTGAGGAGGTGAAGCACCAAACACACACACACACACACACACATGGCTCTCAATATGAAAGGCAGCAATATCAAAATTACTTATGCAGCACTTTCACGCATATAGCCACAAAGTCTCACACTGTGGTTGTAAGCGGTCACTGCAACCACAACTGCCCTGGGACAGACTGATGTGACGAGGGTGAAGTGTGTGGCCCGTGGAATTCCCAGCAGTCTCCCATCAAGGCTAATTTTCCTGTTTGTTATTTCTTCTGTATCAGACGACTGCAGGATACCAATGTGAAACAACATTCAAAAAACAAAAACTGAAACTAGCCGGGCTGCACTGCTGATAGGACTGTTGGGTTCTCACTCGTCGTCAATGAGTAAATCTGTGGTGTATTTGACGATTAACATTTAAATAGTTAATGTGCAAAAACAGATAGATGACAAAAATGCCGGAAAGGCTGACAATTTGCTCTTTACCAAGTAATTTTGTGAAAAAATAGGTACAATTTAGAGCCATACACAAAAGTATCACCCGTCTTTAAAGAAATTTCTTTCAAATGTTCTGCCAATAACATGTTGAAGACAATAACTAGAGGAATTCAACTTTTTGACACATTCAAATCTGAGACATCTGTTTAACTCTTCATTGTTGTGTTAAATAGTCTTTTTGGACACACTTTGCAAGAGCAACAGTATATATGTGCGCCCAAGTTGGAAACGTACAGAAAACATGTACAATATAATTCAAAAGTTAATTGAAGACGTTTTCTCATGCTCAAGGCTCTCCTTCTCTGCTCGAGTGGGTTTCCCAGGTTCATATAATAATCCACAATGAAATGAGATTTATTTGTCATGGTACGACATGCACAGTTCAAGCACAGATGCAGAAATGAAATATCGATTCAGGACAACAGGGACCAAAAGCGTCGAGGTCAGCTGAATAAGAGATATTTCATTCATATCTTTATTTCATATACTTTATTGTGGGCTTCATTCTCCTCCCGGCCTGAGAGCCGGCTCAACCCTACATGGCATGGATCTACAGCCTGAGTCCTGGATCTCCAGCCTGAGTCCTGGATCTGCAGCCTGAGTCCTGGATCTCCAGCCTGAGTCCCGGATCTACAGCCTGAGTCCTGGATCTACAGCCTGAGTCCTGGATCTACAGCCCGACTGTGGGAGCGGATCCTTCCCTCAATGTGGACTTCCCCAAGGTTTCTCACTTTTTCCCACTGGGTTTTTAAGAGTTGTTCCTTGCCAAAGCAGAAGGGTCTCAGGCAGGGGTGTCAAACCGGTTCCAGAAAGGGCCGATGTGGCCCAACTTTAGCAGGAGAACACCAGACTCCACCCATTTCCTGGTCTCACCTGAGGAATTGGGTGGAGTCTGGTGTTCTCCTGGTCAGGTTGGAACTAAAACCTGCAGCCACATTGGCCCGTTGAGGACCGGTTTGACACCCCTGGTCTAAGGACAGTGGTGACATTTAAGGACTTTTATTAACTGTTATGGACATTGGTCTCTGCCCTTTTGCTCTTTTGATCTGCTGTTGGTGAGGTGACTTTGTAAAGTCCTCCGAGATAACTACTGTTGTGATTTATGTGTGGCAATGTGTGGAGCAATTGTTTTTGGCAAATAAAATAGTTGATTCACAAATCAAAACTTTGTTGTACAGTTTTAATTTGAGGATACTTTAAGATCCTTAGAGACAGATGTTGCAGACGGTGAAATGGGTAGTTTGCTCTTCAGCATGCTCTTGCTGTTTGTCAAAATCCAGGTTTATTTGTGACGAGCAGCAATGTTCATAAGTGAAAAAGTGGAGTTTGCAGGATAACCTCATGTTGTTGTTGTTGTTGTTTACAGCTGGGAGACCAGGGAGCTGCGGTGGTGCAGGCACAGGCTGGAGACAGACGTGTGTGTGGGCGGGAACCAGGCCGCTGACCCTGACAGCATCCAGAGCTACGTCAAGAAGGTCAGTGCTCAGCAGGGAACAACCCGTGCACAGAACCAGGCCCAGGCCCAGAACCAGACCAGGTCCACGAGAACAAGAGACGAAGAGATTTTGGTTGAACGCACTGCTGACTTCAAATTACAAAATTAACTCTGTATACAATCTAAGTCAGACCTGGCCAAAGTGCGACCCGGGGACCACATCCGACTCTATTTCCATTTATATGCTAGGTAGGGAGGCATTTATTTTTTAAAACAAGACCAGATACGATCAACTTTAGTGTGAAACAAGTTAAGGTTAAAAATATAGTTTGTGCAGGATATAATTATGTACGATAAGAAGTGGCAATAAGCAGTGCTGGTTCTTCAGTCCTAGTACATTAGTGACTTAAAGTGACTTATTGTACAGTCTGACAGCGGTGGGGATAAAGGCCCTGTGGTAGCTCTTTCTTGCACTGGCGGTGTCTCAGTCTTTCACTGAAGGAGATCATTTTGTTTGTCATAATTGACAGTGTAGTTCCAATCTCTCAGTTTGGTTCTAACACTATTTTTCTCATTCATGTATTTTTGGCCTCTGTCACATCCTTGATCAATTTTTTCACTCAGCCAATCAGCTCTCAGCCCAAAGAGTCAAATAGTGATGTGGTGGTCTGATTTAATCACAAAATGTTTCCTTTACAAGACTCTTTCTATTGGGACAAACACCATGCATTATTTATAACAAAAAAGTTAGATTGCCCAACTTTAATATTTTTGCTTTCTTGGACGACGGCGTCTCAAAATGTGCAGCTCACCAGAGTGAAGATCTGCTTTAGCCCGTCCTTCAGCTGTGTCTCTGAACACAATAGGCGTCCTTCAGGTCTGTGTGTGTGTGTGTGTCTGTGTGTGTGTGTGTGTCTGTGTGTGTGTGTGTGTCTGTGTGTGTGTGTGTGTGTGTGTGTGTGTGTGTGTGTGTGTGTGTGTGTGTGTGTGAGCTGTCAGTCATCTCTGTAATACTGGCTCGTCTGCTATAGATTAGACAGGAGAGAAAAGACATTGTTCTGGTCTAATAATAACCGCCGCCGGACCGGTTTATGGGTCAGAGAGTTGTTCTTTCATTTCTGCTGCGAAAATTACATAACGGATATGAAATTGTACTTTTCTGTGATTGAGTTTTCACTTTGCCGCAGAGCCGGGGAGAAAAAAGTATTATCTCGTTATCTAAAGACATGAATACAGGTGAATCTCCGAATATCATTAGAGTATCATTCAAAAGCCCATTTACTTCTGAAACTCAACTTCTCATTATACGGGAAGCGAGATATCTCAAGTCTTTACTGTTATAATGTTGATAATTCACTCATTTTTGTACAGCCCTAAATCACAACAGTAGTTTTCTCAGAGGACTTTACAAAGCTGTCGATTCGCCAACGCAAATCAGAGAATCAAACAGTTCAAACTCAGGAAATGCAGTGATAAAAAAACACATAGAGCCTTTGGTCCATAAGGAGCAGAGACCAATAAGACCAGAAATGTCATTGAATGTCGTGTGTCCTGGATCATCAGCATTTCCTACTTGGTGGTTGACTACAGGAAGAAGCTTGTAAAAACACTAATAAAACATCTCTGAAAATTAGACTATTTTGAAAATGGACCTTAAGTGAGTCTATATCAGTGTTTCACCACCACGGCACACAATAGATCTGTCAAAGTTAAACGTTTGCACTTTAAAGTAGCATTATGTAAGATTTTCATGTCAAGTCATCATTAAAGGGCCCTAATCTGTTAAAGGCATTCATAGAACATGCTCTTTTCCATTACTTCTTTAACTGATGACAGTAGTTCAGAGATATTTGGATTTCAAAATGAGTTTTACAGCCCCTTAAACTTGTTATTGTTTTCATTTCGATGTCCCGCCCTCCACCGTTTCACCAATCAGAAAGTCTGTGATCCGGGTTGCCAGAACTCACCGCGTGGAGCTAATCTCACTGGTAAAGTACATGTGGCCGCAGAACTAAAACATGTCTCGTTATGATTCTCAAATCATTAATGACAAAACAAGGAATAAAACCAGGATTTCTGTCTGTCTGAAGTGTATCATAGAAAATCAAACAAGCTCAAATCTCTAGTCTTGAGTTTATCTGTTTACTCGTATTTTCAGTTTTTCTTCCACAAAATGATTAGATGTTAAACCCAAAATGCCAAAAGAAAAAAAAAAGGCTTTCATTCAAAGAGCTAATCTAAAGAGCAGCAATAATTAAATGTTGAAAAGAGCAGGTTTTATTGTAAGAATAAAACTGGAGCATGGACAAAGCACAGTTTTTTACAGTAAAAAACATGAAGGAGAGACAGAGATGCAAGAAAACAAAAGGATAAAGTCTTTCTTTGTTGTTGGAAGTGAGAAATTGCTTTTCCTTCTAATATTGTGAGGAAATCAATAATTCTCTGCTGCTTCTCTGGAACATCTAAGACCGAGACTCATTATAAATAAAGATATGACATAATGAATAATTTATTTTTGTTGAAATGTTTAAGACTGTTTTACTAACTAGGAGGTCTCTTTAAGTATTCATCATTCACTGCAAAAAAAGATTCAGTAAATCACGTTGTTTTTATCTTAATTTAAGCACATTCTGACAAGCTTTGCCAAAGGGACAGAGCCATTTAGTCTTTTTTTAAGAACTGTTGCTTTAATTTTTCATTCCAAGGGAGACATTTCTTGTATCTCTTTAACCCTTGTGCTTCCTCAGGTCAAAATGACCCGTCACAGTGATTTAAAGTGGAAGAAAAACACTGTAAATTAGAGTCTAAAAGGTTCTAAATGACCCAGGGCTGGTCAAGGTAGGAACAATTATAAAAATTCAGCTAAACGTTTTTTTATTCAGGGTATTTTTTCTTTTTATCTCTGTGTTGTGCCAATTTGACCCGAGGATAGCACAGGATAATAATTTACCGGTCCCATTGGCATATCTTGTTTTAAGGCAGTCAAAATGTGCTGAAATGAAGATACACTTTGCCAAATGTAACCAATTCCTGACTTATTTTTCATCACAATGTCAGCTCTGTTAAAAACTCCTGCAGCTGTTTAAAATGTGCACCTCAAACACATGGAATACTTTATTATAGATTTAACACAAATGTCTGTCAGCCCTAAACTCACATTTACATTCACTCCAACTCCATATTCGCGATCTTCCGTAAACACCAACGCAGGCACGAGTAAGTATGAGGTAATAATCTCTTGAATTAACCGTTTTTTATCTTTATTTGAGTTTGACGGTCTTCGTAAATGGGACAAAGCCGTTAAGTCTTATTTCAAGAACTATTGCTTTATTTTCTAATTCAAAAGGAGACGTTTATTGTATCTTTCTAAAACGAGATCATTTTGCTTTGTCCCATCGGCAAAATCTTGTTTTGAGGCAGTCAGAATGTGCTCAAATTTAGAATTTTTTTACCGAATTTGAGCATTTTTTTGACTTTTTTTCCATTACTTTTTGCAGCCTATAGTTCACAACAACATTCCCTCTTTTCTATAAAACCCAATCCTGTACAATCGCACAGATGGAGCCAGTCCCGGCTGAAACAGAGCCATATCTCGCTCTCATAATAAACGTGTCTTTTGTCCCGTGGCTCAGGCTGGGTCTTTGTGGAGCTCGCACACGCAGCGCTGGCCTGTGATTGGCCATCTCTGCTCTATTCTAGCACTTCCATTAGCTTTCCCATTCTCTGTGAGCTCGCCGGATCTAAGGGCGCAGTGGAGCAGCTGCCACTGATTTGGAAAAAAAGCTTTTTTTTTAGCAAATCACCTCGAAATAGGTAAAGGAGATGTCTCATGTTTCTGTCGTCTCCGCGGCGACCGTCTGTGGCTCATCGGCGTAAACTTATAAATGAGTGCGTTTGAAATCCTAACATTGATCTGACATTTTTTTACGGACGAAAGTGCAGTCCTGCCGCATGGTTCTGAATTCTGCCACAAAAGTGTAAATCAGGTCACATCAAAGGCTCGGCAGATCAAGTTTACAATCTGCAGTATTTTTCTCTCAAAGACAAAATGGTTCTTGAAATAGATAAATAATGCAATATGATGTATAAAAGACAGGGATTATTTAATATTAAGTCCTGCAGATGATTAGATACTCTTTATTCGTCCCACAGTGGGGAAATGTCAGTGTTGCATCATCAGTTACAGACCAGTAGGAATGAGGAGAACACAGCACAAATGAACAATAGCTTCATACTAAAAGGGCAGTTGGTAGAGCATTGGCCTTTGAGCCAGAAGGTCGTGGGTTCGAGCCCAACTTTCACCATCGACTCCCACTGTCTGCTGTTGTTGTGTCCTTGGCAAGACACTTAACCTCTGGGAACACCAGCCACAGTGGGGCAGCTGCGGCCGTGAATGCCAAACTGCTGTTGTGTCCTTAGGCAAGACACTTCACCCCCATTGCCTAGAATGAGTCTGGTGTGTGTGAATGGTTGGTGGTGGTCGGAGGGGCCGATGGCACATACTGGTTGCCTCGCTTCTGTCAGTGTGCCCCAGGGCAGCTGTGACTACAGTAGTAGTTTATCACCACCGTGTATGGAGGGAATGAATAATGACATGTGAAGCGTCTTTGAGTGTCCAGAAAAGCGCTATATAAAACCCATGCATTATTATTATTAAAATAAAATGAAATACAAGAAAAACTCAAACTATAGCATAATAAAGAAGCAAATCCAAAATCTCCAACTTAAGCATAATGAAGAAGTAGGAATGTATAACCTCTCTGGCTTTAGCATTACATAACATAGAACAGAAACATAACATTAAATATAAACTTAAGATAATATAACAGAGTTTATAGATCTAAGTTCTTCTGGAGTTAATTCTATAAAACCAATCCCAGGTTTTTATCTCTCCTGTTTCTATCACATTTCTGACCAAGAGAGGATTTTTTAAAGTCACTATAGAAGAGAAGTGTCACTTTTACACATAAAGACACACACTCATACACACACACACACACATATGTGTTTGCGTGACAAATGAGGACCTATGTCTGCACTGTGACATATCAGGACGTGCCTTTCTGAAGGTCCCAGAGACCTGAGGATCACATAGGGGGGCGCAGGGTGTGTTCAGTAAAACAGCTAGCTGTTGATATTTTGGTTACAAAAAACGTTTTGCCCGCAAGGTTTTATTGCCACATATGAGGACTTTGACAGGTCTGAGTGACATATAAGGTCCTACAACACACAAATCAGGTCTGAGTGACAAATAAGGACCTACAACATACACATCAGGTCTGAGTGAGATATAAGGACCTACAACACACACATCAGGTCTGAGTGAGATATAAGGACCTACAACACACACATCAGGTCTGAGTGAGATATAAGGACCTACAACACACACATCAGGTCTGAGTGACATATTAGGACCTACAACACACACATCAGGTCTGAGTGAGATATAAGGACCTACAACACACACATCAGGTCTGAGTGACAACCTATACGCTCTGCCTCCTCCTCCACACACTCTGACCACAACCTAAACGCTCCTCCTCCTCCTCCACACACTGACAACATACCCTCCTTCTCCATCTCCTCCTCCACACACACTGACCACAACAAGGGGTTTTATGCCCAAAATCCACTGCACTCACAGTGGACGCTAAAGCTGAGCATGCAGTGTTTGCTAATGCTTTTATAATATGTTTCTGATGTGGATATTCGGACTCAACATTGACAATAACAGCGCTCACACACCTGTCTCGCTGCTCCTCCTCTTCCTCCTCTGCTCACACACCTGTCTCGCTGCTCCTCCTCTTCCTCCTCTGCTCACACACCTCTGTCTCCTCCTCCTCACACAGAAGATGCAAGTATCCATCTCTCCATTCACTGGGCTCATTCCCGTTACTTTCTTCGTTCCTCACTCAGACCCAGACACTGCTAAAGTTATCTGACAGCTCCGTAAAGTTTGTTTCGGAGGACCCGCAGCGTACATAGCTGCCCTCGTGCCTGCCTGTTTACAAATCGCTTTTGGTGAAAATTTGACTTTACTTGTATAATAATGTACTTTTGATCAAAAGAAATCACAGAGGTCCAGAAAAAGGGGTTTAGGGGTCCAAACTTGGAGCGCAGTCCGCCCTTTGGGGACCCTTGAACTAGTGTATTTATTAAAAAATAAAAAGGAATGACATACAATTTCTATCACCAAATATAAAAAGACTTTTCCCCCTGAATATTGCTTATTCAGTGAAATACATCCATTTGTTTCAAAAGATGCATTTCATTATTTTCTTTTAGACTTTTCTTGAACATGACATTGAATCACCATAGCAACAGAACATGGCGATGTCATTCTGTTTGTCTAAGCGGAACATTCTATCACCACAGCAACCAACACCATGTCATCGTAACCACGGCTCTGAAAAGTTAATGTGTGTGAAGAAAGACAAGACAAGTGACTTAAACAAACCCGAGGGAAATACGAAGATCAGAGCCCAGATTGACAAAGCAAAGCAAATGAAACAACACTGACAAGATGTGGTGTTTTAGAAGAAACAGGAGTAAAAAGGAGCTTTACAAAGCCATGGTGGACAATTTGGTTCTTGCGGAGGAATCAAACCAGGCTTTGTTGGCTGAAGTCAAGAAACTGAAGGAGGAGAAGTGTGACCTGGTCAACGCTCAAGCAGAAGAAACATGCAGACTGAAGAAGCAGGTGACACAGCTGCAAATGGAGAAGTCTGCTCTGGAGAGGGACTTTTTGGAGTCCACCGCTTTCAACCGGCACCAACTTGACACCACCCTCCAGGAGAAAACCAGCCTTGAACTCTTGCTGCAACAAACCACAGGAGAGCTGCAGACCGTACAGCAGACGCTGAGGACTTTGGAGAAGCGTGCTGAAGAGGACAGGCGACGGAATGACTCCATCATTAAAGGTATGGACACACATCTCTCAAAAGTTGACGATGAAAACATGAACACATTAGAAGTAATAAACTTTTGTCTTCTAGATGCTGAACATAATATTAAGGAGCTGGAGACCAAAATGCAGGACCAGGAGATGCACCTGAAGAAAGGTAATTATGAGCTGGAGGAAAAATTGCTCAGGCTTCTGAAAGAGATAGAGGTGTTTAGAGAGAACTATGTCCTGAAAAACTCTGTTTTTGCAGAAATGAAGGAGGAGATGAGCAAATTTAAGGCTCAGAAGGCGGAAACAGAAAAGCTGAAGGAGCAGGTGACACAGCTGCAAACGGAGAAATCTGCTCTGGAGAAGGACTGTTTGGATTCCACCACTTACATCCAGCACCAACTCAAAACCACCGTCCAGGAGAAAACCAGCCTTCAACTTTCTCTGCAAAAAACCACCGCAGAGTTGCAGAGGACAAAGGGTGAGGTGCGGGAACTGAAAGAGGCTTGTGCCAGGTGTGAGGACAGGAACAAGGAGGTCACCAACTTCTCCAAGATCCTGAAGGAGGAGAACAAGGCCTTGTTCGAAGCAATGGAGTCCGTAAAGCAGACTCTGAAGGAGGAGAAACAAGCCTTGTCCACAGAACTGCAGTCCGTAAAAACGACTCTGAGGACTGTGGAGAAGCGGGCTGAAGATGACGGGCAACGGAAGGACTCCCTCCTGAACGGTATGGACACAGATCTCTAAAAAGTTGAAGAAGAAAACATGAACACATTTGAAGTAATAAACTCTTGTCTTCTAGATGCTGGCTTTTATATTGATGAGCTGAACACCAAAATGCAGGACCAGGAGATGCACCTGAGGAAAGGTAATTATGAGCTGGAGGAAACAAACTGCTCAGATGGAGGAGTTTAGAGAGAACTTTGTCCTGAACAACTTTGTTTTTGCAGAAATGGAAGAGCGGGTGAGCAAATTCCAGGAGATAATGAAAGAGGCCGTCAACGAGAACCTACGCCTGAAATATGAACTGAACTTTCTGAAGAAGAATCCGTCCAAGCAGCAGACCCAGGACCCTCAGGAGGGCCTCACTCCACACTATCCTCAGCAGATGCAGAGACGCAGTCGTCAAAAGACAGACGTCTATAGACGGGTCTGTTACGGTCCCAAGAACTAAGACTAAGTTCTGAATGAACCAGTAGTAGCTGACTACCACATGATTGTATGTGTGTATGAATGAAAGGTGGTGGTTAGAGGGGCCGACTCAGGTTGGCAGCCTTCGTAGTCTGTCCCAGGGCAGCTATGGCTACAGTAGTAGCTGACGTACCACCATGAATGGTATGAATGAATTGCGGTTTTGTTTTGATGAAAATAATACTTGACAGCGTTAATGCAATACGTTTTATCTGTTTCACCCTGACCCCTCTGGCGCCATCTAGAGGATCTGCTAGACAAAACGTAGACTCAATGACCGAATGTATAAACTGAAAGATCTCAGGTTAAAACGCAGCGGACTCCAGAGCTGACGACCTGTGCTCATGAAGGAACCAGTGTGTGCAATGTCCAAATGTGAAAAGGGTCCATCCCCCCTTCCCTCCCTTCCCTCCCTGCAACAAAAAAAGTAATAAAAAAATATATAAATAAACAATTGTAACTGTGTTACATAGCTGAACCAACAAGCTGATTTTTTCAATCAAATTACGGGTTTTAATAAAGCTCAGAAAATACTGTCTACTACAGAAAAACAGAATGTCAATAATTGTAATAAAAAAATACAGCATGTACACTAACCTTACACAGACTCACCTTAACCCTAACCTTCTTACTCAGACTACCTTAACCATATTACTCAGACCACCTTAAACCTAACCTCAACCATCT